TGTTTCAAGTGCTTTGTGTCTGTCAATGTCACCCAAATGCATGGCAACATAATTATGTGTAAACACTGAGTTCACACTTGATCTACCCAGAACACTTCTGGAACCAAAGGGAAAGTTCAAAGACCACAGATGCTCCAGCAAAATGACACAACCACTAGAGCTCAAAGGACAGAACCTCTTTCCTCCTCCCCAGGGCTATACATACTTTCCATGATTCGTACCAACTTTGTAACCATTTCAGGGGTACGGGAGTCTGAAAGTGGAAGGGGGAGTATGGGCCTGATGTTAGAGAAGGACACATCAAATCCTGGGGACTAATCGAATTACAAGTGATCTTAACAACTGAATTATAGGAAAAAGGAGACATTTAAATTCTCTAGTTCACAAAGTTAGGGCACAAGTGTGGTACAACTTAGTACGATTTCAATCACAAAGAATTTAATAATTTACACAAATTCTCAATACCACTTGCCATTATGGGAGTACAAATTAAAACAAGACATGGTATATATCTGTTGGAATGGCAAAATCCAAAGCATGGGAAGACCAAATGCTGGTGAAGACATGGCGGATAGGAACTCTGCTGGCATGCAAAATGGCACAGCCACGCTGGAAGATAGCTTCTCATAAAAGCAAAAAATACAATTGCCATGTGCTTCAGGAGTTACATTTAGGGAGCATTTACTCAAGTGAGTTGAGAATTTATGGACACACAAAATCCTGGGCATGAATGTTTATGGCAGCTTTATTATAATTGTTAAATCGTAGAAGCAACTAAAACATCCTTCAGTAAGTGAGTGGATAAATATTCTGAAAACTGGTATTAGTGCTAAAAAAAAAAAGAAATGAGCTATCAAGTCACAGGTAGACACAGAGGAATCTTAAATGCATATTTATTTCATGTATACTGACATCAGTCTGGAAATGCCACTAGTCTGAGATTCCAATGGTATGACATTCTGGAAAAGACAAAACCGTGGGAAGAAAAGGACTGGAGGATGCCAAGGGCTGGGGAGACATACAGGTGGAACATAGGGATTTCAAAGCAGTGAAGTTATTCTGTATTATTCTATAATGTTAGATACATGGTATCATGCTTTGATCAAAACTCGTAATACTGTACAACATGGAGTGATGCCTAATGTAAACTATGGACTTTAGTAATAATAAGGATCATACTAGTTTCTCCTGTGTAACAAATGTGGCACACTAATGCATTAACAAAAGGAAAAACTGAGGGTGCTGCTGAGGGACTATATAGGAGCTTTGTAGTTTCTTCTCAAGCTTTCTATAAACCTAAAATGCTCTAATAATGAAGTTTATTCATTTAAAAAAGGTTCTTTGGGGAGATGGTCTAAGCTACTCAGTCATCTAGAAAGTTCACCATACTCATCTCTTTTGAAATAGTGCTACACACGTGAGTATATTTATTAAAACAGAATTGAAACACTATATATCTTACCTCTTTTGAAATTAGTAGTACAATGCATAGCAAACACAAAATATCAAGTTTACAATATGTAATTTTATGAAAAAAATCTAGGAAAAATTATGCCCTACTAGGAAGAGGTTTGTCATTCCCACTGTGGCAAGAGGTGTATCAGTGAAAAGATGTTAAAAATGAAAACCCTGACAATCAACCCTCTAGAAACTCATTACTAAATTACAATTTGCACACAGACCCCACTAAGCTCAGGACTAGTGAAATAGCACAAAGTGTGAGGGAAAACATATTTAAATAAATACAATTAGAAACACCTTTTTCTTTACATTATATGTTTAAATACTGGGACACAAACACTGGAACAAAACTCATAATGACACACAAGCTATCACACTGTGTCTTCTCACTGGACCCTGTGCCCACAGTAATGTCCACTGAAGACAACTCCTGGTCTGCCACCATATGAACAGACATCTACCTACTTCTTTGTGTTTTCCTCAAGTACTTAGGTTTTTAGAGAATAAGCACACAATGTTACCACAGTGGTTCATATTTGGAAAGGTTCGAGAAAACAGTAGGCTGTGTGTTTTGCTGCAATGTGCTGTTCAGAATGAGTCACATCTAAATAATGAAGCTGGAGATCACAGAGGGTAAAGAGTTTGGTACACTTCACAGAGGCTTCATCCAGAATATGTGGCTTTGCCAGACCAAGAATGGCAAATATCTTTTTTTAAAGCATTCAAGTAAAAAAAAAAAACTGAGCCAAGAGGAGGAAGAATAACAAGGAAAGAAACAAATCTGCAGAGATGACAAGCTGAATTTAATCCAGTTCCTTCCTGCCTAAAACTAAGCATGAGTAACTGAGGTAGACTAAGGATTAACATGTGCAAAGGCTTGGGTTTTTCCAAAGGTCAATATTTAGTCACTTCTGAGAGTGAAACGTAAAAGTGCATTTTATGGTTTTAAATATAAATCCAATGAAGGCCTGATTACATGAGAGAACCTTCTCAACACAAATTCCCTATCTGTGGGACCAAATGTGCCAGTCCTACACACTGCTAGTGACAAAGCAATTGCCATGTTTTATTTTTATTTTCTCAAGAAATGAGAAAAATAAAACAAATAATTTTATAATATTACTTTAATATTTTTCCTGGTTTTATTAACAATTCACCTGAACTTTAGAAATACCGTCAAATCTAATATTGTCCAGAGCACCCCCCCCAAAAAAAAACTAATAAAAAATAAGAATTATTATTAATGAAGTGAATGTGTAAACACATCTATGATGGTACAGATTTAATTTTTTAAATACTCACACAGTTTCCATATTAAGAAACAATATTAAAAACAAATTTCCAAAAATAAATAAATTAGTATGAAAAGTCTAATTTTAAAGTATAAATAAGTAAACTTAAGTAATTACAACAGTTTTTAGCTTCCTGTAAAAATAATTAGTGAAGATGAAAGTGAACTATCTGAGGTTCAATAGCTATCCCCCACTAACAGGTCCTCCGACTTTTTCCTATGTTTTGCTATTCTGACAGATTCTTAGAGTCACATAAATATTATGCGCATCACAAATGAAATGGTATGTACAAAATATTATGCAATCAAAACAGAACAGATTTTTAAAATCATGATTTTTTCCTCATATAAGTGACTTTTTTGTGAAAGTGCTAACATACATTCTATATTCTGAAGTCATCTATTTTTAGTAAGCTGAAAGGAAAAGGACATGTACTACTAAAGAAAGACAGTAACACAATACTGAAGGTGTCAAGGCTACTCATATAACAGGAGTTACCTCTTTAAATACAGGAAGAATGGAGTGAGACCTCAATAATGATGTTTGTCAACTGGTTAATGTTTTAGGATCACTTACACATTCAGCAGCATATACAGAAACTTACTCCCAAGGAAGAAAATCAAGTGAAAGTAGACTGTGTAAAGCCTTCAAGTTGAAACAAATAATCTTCTCAATGTCTAACAGAGTTAAAGCTACAGACAACAATGTGAAAGAGTGACAAGGATACTATAAATTAGACCTGCATACAGATTTTCTCTGATATATCTATATGGCTATATGGCCTATTCATATTAGATTTTCTAGATACCTGCCTATTTACTTTTTGAGTAATGATTTCAGCATCCCCCTTTTTTGAGATATTTAGGGCCAAATACCACATCAGCAGAATCACCATCCTGGGAACTGAAATGAAGTCCTAGCCCATAGCATGTGTCTTGGTATTTGGAGGGACAGGTGTCAAAGCCTGTACATTTTATCCATCAAGTACATTCAGTCATTATGCAATGACTGAACTGCTATTGACAGCCTCCTATAAAGAGCTGGTTTATCACTGTGCTAGACAACCAAATACTCATGTTTTCAGAGGAATTAAAGGAATAAAATAGTTGTTTCAATAAAGTATCTGCTATTGTAACAGAGAAACAAAACAAAACAATTCTATTTCCTTCTGAGTAAGGAAACACAGTTTTAAGTGATAGACTATGAATACACACATATACATACACATCCAAACACATGCATACATACACACCCAGTGTTCATTAAAGGTTGGCGTGAACCTGAAGGGACCTCTTCAAGATGCTTTAAAGGGTTTAAAATGCAAAACCTTTATCATCCACAGATAGAGCAAAGTGAGAAAGGAAAGAAATAAAAACACATCAGTAAAGATAAGCTTCCATGAATGTAAGTCTCAAATACTGCTTAACTTGAAATAATGAACCACAATGAGGGCCTGGAATGTGGCTTAGTGGTAGTGCTTGCCTCACTTGCATGAAGCCCTGGGTTTGATTCCTCAGTGCCATACAAGCAGAAAAAGCTTGAAGTGGCACTATGGCTCAAGTAGTAGAGTACTACCCTTGAGAAAAAGCAGCTCAGGGAGTGCCCAGGCCCTGAGTTCAAGCCCCAGGACTAGCAAAAAAAAAAAATCACACAATGTCATTAGCCATGAAAAATTTAGGAAAAAAGTCCAGTGCATGCAAAGATAAATATAATAAAACCCAAAAGATGTCTATATACCAATGAAAATGGTACAGAGTCCCATTTGTGGCTTAATAATCACAACATTGACATTTTAATGATTGTTCCTAAGAATTTAGGAGAAAAAATAGATATACTATTGGGCAGTAATAGTTTGCAAGATAATTTTAGTGGTTCATTTCTTTATTTTTTATGGGACAGGAGTTCACTATTTTGTCCAGGTTGGCCTTAAATTCATGATCCTCCTGCCTCAGCCTATCAGACTTATTTCTCCATTTAGAAAAGTCCATTAATGAAGCTGCTAGGCATGATGGCACATATCTATGGCCCTAACTACTCAGGAGACTGAGGCAGAAATATCACTTGAGCCCGGGAATTCAAGACTGGCCTGGGCAACATAGTGAGACCCCCCCTCATATCAACCTAAATAAATAGATAATAAGAAGAAACATAATCATTTCAACTTTTAGATGAATTAACCTAATTACAATAAAATTGCAATGTCTTATGATTTGAAGTTTTATATCTCAGAGTTACCTATATCTCAGAGTTAAAAGGACAATTTATATTCATTAGATACATAGCGAAGTTCTATATATATAATATGTAATATATTATATATTTAAATAAGCTAATACATTATCTGGAAAAAAAGTATTTATAGCTCTTACTAGGAAAAAAATTAAATGTCTTAAGAGACTGAGTTTTTTGGTGTCTGTTAAATATATGTTGTATGCATGTACACATGTATATATACACATGTGCACTACTAAACCCACATAGCAGTTTCAATCACTGGGTGCTATCCCAAATAGAGAATTCACAAGATCACCAAATATAGATTTTTAAAAGTTTGACCACTATAGCACAGTTTGTCTGATAACCTAAAAAAGAATAAATGTCATTAACTAAAAAGCACCATCAGCAGAATGCTCTGCTGTGATAGCCATCTACCTTTGCCTGATCCTTTTTATTATGAAATTCCTGCTGAGTTGAATGAGTATGTCACATTTCTATCTTAGTCCTGCTGTTGGTACATGTTTTTAACTTACAAAAAAGATTTTAAAATTTTTCAAGCAAACATCCTTCATTATGTATGATGTTGACTTGCCTGGAAAATCATAAAGATTTTGTTTGTTTTGCATCACCCATAGACTCTGGGCCTGTTTAGAATGCCAGAGTGTTTCTCCTAAATACAAAAATCAAATTCAACAAAAATCAAATAGAAAAGTTGAAGCTGAGAAAAGATAATAGTTATGTGTCCTTGAACATACCGAAAGAAAAGTACAAATAATCTGAAAAGTTAAAACAACCTTCGAAGTCTAGAATGAAGAAGCGCCTCTAATATAATATGCTTCTCACCTTTCCAGTGTGAAAATATAAGCACCAGCAAAATTCACTAGAGACCAGAGAAACAACCTGCAAAGTGCTGAACAAACTACAAGCATGGGGTATTTCTCAGTGTAGCAGTACCAAATACCTAATGGAAAGACTAGGGGGAGGGAAGAGTAACACATGAGAGCCTCTGTTAGACTCTACCAGTAGGTCAGAGGTGTATACTACAGGTTTAATTGGAAAATTCCCTGTTTCCTTGTCCTTCTCCTTCTTATTGACAATTCATGAATTTGATACAAACTAAGTATTGCTGCTAGAAGCCAGAGTGTGTATATGTGTGTTGTGTACATCCCTCATGTTTACAGAGCAAGAAAAACTGAAAAACAAAACAAAAATAAACCAATGCAAGTGAGAAAAGGAGATCATTATAAATCTTCTGTAAACAAGTTCCTGGAATAGGAGTTGCTATTTTCCTTGGCATCCCCGATACACTGCTGTGGGTGTATAATATTAGCACGTGAGGACACAAAATATCAGCACAAAGCCAGGGAAGAGAGGAGACCAGGCTTTCTATTTAAGCTCTTCATATTTCTCAACTACGTTTAGTATCTTTGTAGTTGTACTTTCTTTTTGGCCCCTAAGTGAAAATCTCTCCAATGAAAATTGCAAACCTGTTTTTTAAAAAAATTCAGGAATTTTTCCATATTTTATGAACAAAAATACCAGAAATGGAAGAGATGACAAAAACTCAAGCAGATCCAAATTCAACCATCCACTTTTCATACTTCTCCAAGTCTGCAGCAGAGACAGACTTAGCGATTTTCTTTAGAGCCAACTCAAAGTCTCCTTTGGTAACAGGCATCTGGAGTTCCTCCTTAGAAAGCGCCCGGATCTCCTCTGGACTTAAGCCATTGATGCGCCGCCTCATTGCCATTAAAGAAGCATCCCTGGGAACATACCAAAAGCAGTCAACAGCAACCGTGACAAGTATTTCCAGCACTTTTGATGTCACAAAGTTATGAGAAAACATTCAAAAAATTATTTTAGATGAGAAAAATTTCCATTTCAGAGACATCCCTGAGGTTTCAGCAAAGGTTAAAAGAGGGACTTAAACCATTAATGAACCATAACAATCTTAAGTTGAACTTGGATAGTACTGAATCTTCTATACCTGTACCTCAAAATAACCAAGTAGTTTAGAAACTGAAGTCAAGTTTTGAAATACTGAATTGCATACTTGGAAATGAATAAATTACTAACACTAAGATAACTTAAATCAAATACCAGGATGTCTCTATAGCCTCATGTAAGAGGAAAACCCAGGAACTCCTTTCTCTGTAACAGGGATATATCCACAGAGCAGACATGGAACTTCCTACAGGGAGTATTTGTGACAACTAAAGGAATAAACTCAGGCTTCTCCTGGTCTAATTTACAGTGCTAGTGTAACAATTATAAATAAGTATGAAGGCTTTAAAGAAATAGAAGATTCATGTTCCCACAAAAACTACTAAGAAGGACAAACCAATCAAAACCTTAAATTTGCAGATGTTTTACTATAGTAATAGTATAAACTTTTGTGAGCTTACTGAGTGTCACTAACCTTAGATGCACATATAACAAAAAACTTTCAGAAGAAATGAGTAAAGCATTCTAAGGCTTTAAAGAAAGACTGCTGGGATCAATTTTAGTTAGGAAAATAAAATTTAAAAATCCTCTTTATTGAATTATGTGAATTATCTAAACTTACAATGTCACTAAACTGCAATGGGAATCTTAAAAGGTGTCTATATGTGTTTCTTTCCTAGATTAAGCTGATCAATTACCTTCGTGTGCATGTGATCAAATAAGACCAAATAAAATTAAATGATAGTCTTTATACTGCTGTACCTCGGCACAAATCTGAAGTTAAATTAACCACAGATTATTCAGTTATTATTATCAAATCAAACACAACTGTTTCTGAGAAATAAGAAATAAATACATATGTGAGGGCAATATGTGAGTTGTGCACCTATAACTGCTGTACTTGGAAGACTGAGGCAGAACTATGAGTTTCAGGCCAGCCTGGATGACACAGCAGGACCTTATTTCAAATAATGTTATGTAATTATTTATCTAGCCATGATCAGTAAAAAGTTATACAGAAAATGAAAAACATTTCACAAATGAGATGTTTTTTCTTTCTTGCGATTGTTTCTAACATATTTATAAGATGATTTCTTTGTTGCTTTGTATGTCCCTCCCCCACGGTATAACCCATGCTTTCACTGTATTTGATGTTGGTATAATTTGTGGAGGGGAAGGGGAAAAACAAATTGTTTAAATAGGGATACAGGTGGACCCATTGCAACAATGAGATGTACAAGTCGTTATGTCGAAAAACGAACTTTACAACTTTGGCCGGGAGTGTAGGGGGGGCTTGGTGGTGTGAGTGGGAGATGGGAAGGGATGGTAGGGAAAAAACAAAGGAGGCAACAATGCTTGATAAGAAATGTACTTCAATACCTTGCCCGTGTAATTGTAACCCCTCTGTACGGTATTTTCACAATAAAAAAAATTAAAAATTAAAAAAAAGAATTGGGTAGCTGCTTTCTGGCTTAAGGGTGAACTACTCTGCCTAATTATCAGTGCCCTGCAAAATCTACAGATAATGCCAAGATCACGGGTCACTAAAAATTACCTGCAGACATTAGTTATGTCCGCTCCAGAATAGCCTTCAATCTTCTCTGCTATATCTTCCAGTTGAATATCAGGATCCAATTCGACCTCACGAAGATTGATCTTCAGAAGTTCAGCTCTTCCTTTTGCTATTAGAAGAAGTTTTATTACAATTAGGCATGTTACTTTACAAATTGCTTTTGCTGAGAAATGTTGTATTAATATATAGGAGAAGAAGAATCATGCAAAGAAGAGTCAATAACTGGAAGTTTATCAATTAATGGCAGAACTCACAGAATCACTGAAGTCCACATGCACCTTTGCAATCATCCTCATACACTGAGGAAGATATAAACATTAGTGTATTCAAGCACCAGAAATGCTGCTCCTAGGCTGGATGTAGCTTAGTGGTAGAGCACCTGCCTAGCAAGCATAAGGCCCAAGTTCTAGCCACAGTAGCATGCACACATGTACCCACGTGTATACACACACACACACATACATACACACAGAGCTTAGTTTTATAGAACTAGACTTAGTAGAGCTCCTATAAATGACTACTCACAATGTGCTATGAAAGAAGAACTCTCAAGAGTTGCTTTAAAATATCCCTAGAAATCAACGACTGGCACAAAATGCTTATTAATTTTTTTGAGGGGGGAGGGTCGGTCATGGGGTCTGAACTCTCGGCCTGGGCATGGTCCCTTAGCTCTTTAGCTCAAGACTAGCGCTCTACCACTTGAGCCACAGTGCCACTTCCAGCTTTTTTTCTGCTTATATGGTGCTGAGGAATTGAACTCAGGGCCTTATACATGCAAGGCAAACACTCTACCACTCATTTAATTTTTTTAAGCCAGTACCTATAATATCAGAACTTATAAGGGCAGGAGTATCACAACTTTGAGGCCAGCCTATGCTATACCACTCTAGCTTAAAAAACAAGCAAGCAAATAAGCAAGCAAACAAAACTGAAGCCAGGCATGACAGCTCACACCTACAATCCCAGCTACTCAGAAGGTACAGAGCAAGATCACCATTTGAGGCCAGTTTGGCAAAGAGTGAGACCCAATTTCAATTAACAAACTGGACATAGTGTTTCATGCCTGTGGCCCCAGCTATGTGAGAGGCCATCAGCAGGCAAATGACAGTCTGAGAACAGCTCCAGAAAAAAAACATGACAGCTTACTTGACCAGTTAATTAAAGGGCAGGGTGTGGTAAAGTATAGAGAGTCTGCCTAGCAAGCACAAGACCCTGACTTCAAACCCCATCTATATAAGTACACAAATGTAAAATAAAATTTTCACTTGAAGAGCCAGTCCATAAACATTCACTAATCCAGTATGTTTTGATTTTTTGCCTTTGTAGTGCTAGGAATAATAGAAGGTGCTTTACCACAGAGCTATATATCTAAAGGCTCCAAAAAAAATTTTTAGGGGGTTTGAACTCAAGATCTTTTTATTTTCAAGTTATTTTTGAGATAGCATCTCACTTTTACTCAGGTCAGTCTGAAACATGACACTCCTATTTATGCTTCCCAACACACTGGTCTCTGAATGGGCTAACCTAGAACTGTGATCTTCCCAATCCTAGCCTCCCCAAGGCTGAGATGACTGTGCTAGACCACTACTGTCTTTTCTTAATTAACCAATTAATATCTGATACTTCACTATTGCTTTCAAAATGGCAGGTCTGCTTAATGCAGCACTCTAAGATAGCATATAACTAATTATCTGGTTCTCTACAATTCCTTGAGACACAATGTTTTCCAAAACTTAACTTTGCTAAATTTTAAATCCATACAAAAATCATTAACTGATTCATGAATGGTTATTTCAACCTTATCACTTTCCCAGCCTGCTTCTCTTCTCTTCCCCTTTTTGACTTAAGCACTAGCTGTCATATCATTACACTCTTCCTAGCAACAATGTCATGTATACATATGCCATCCTAAAAAAATTTCACTATTTGCTTTCCTAACCTTTACAAACCATCATATATTGCCTTTAGTTGTGGTGTCCCATTCAGCTGCTTTCATCTAAAATAGCTCCCTGTTTGCTTTTGTTGTGTTTTTCTAACTGACATAACTCTTCTCCAACTGACCTTACAGAGCCAAGGAATCCCAAGAAAGAGTCTAGGAAGTCTGTTGTAAAGCCTGATGGGCAAAACTAAAATGTTTATGGAAATAGAAAGAACCAAAACACTCTGGAAGAGCAATAACGAGGAACAAGGAACCACTCTATCAGTTTATTAGACTTATTGCAAAGCAACAAGATTCCCATCAGGATTGCACTTCATGGAGAATGACAAACAGATCAATAACAGAATAGAAGCAAATGGAAGTGTAAATTACAGACACGACTATCACAGGTGGTCAGGGATGCCTTTTCAAATAATGAAGCTAGAACAACTGACTATCCACAGGGAAAGAAACTGGCTCTACCTCACATTACACACAGTCACTGAATGTATTTAAATTAGGAACTCCTATTCAGAAAAAGATACCTGTTAAGTCTCTACTAAATAGAACCACCTTCAGAAAAAGCATATATAGTGAAAACAGACAAACTAGAGAGTATAAGGAGACATTTATAATATAGATAAGCAACAATGAATTTATATCCGTTATTTTAAAAAGCTCTTTCAAATCAAGAAGAAAAGGTTAAACTATCCAAGAGAAGCATAGGCAAAAGATAAACAGATACCACAACTCAAATAGCTAATACACAAAGAGAAAATTGTTCAGATTCTTTGAACTCAGGGCTTTGTGCTTGCTAGGTAGGCATTTTATCACATGAACCATCATGATGCCAGCTCTTTCTATCTACACCATTTTTTTTCATTAAAAAATTATTGTTATTATAAAGGTGATGTCCAGAGGTGTTACAGTTACTTAAGTCGGGTAAAGGGTATATTTCTTTTAAAAATAATGTGAGTTATTTAAAAAAAAATAGGGCCTCACTTCCTATCTGGACTAGCCTGGATGACTATGATCCAAGTTTTGCTTTCCTGTGTAGCAGAGGTGACAGGGGTGTTCCACTGTGTCTAGCCATAGTGCTTCCTCCCAAGATGGGATGGGCAGGCATATGCTTTCACACCCAGCCATTGATGAGATGGAGTCTCATAAATTTTTGGTCTGGGTTGGTGTCAGACAGTGATCTCCTATCTCGACTTTTCAAATAACAAGAATTATAGGCCTGAACCACCATGACAGGCTCAAATTCTTTACTAAAAAATGAAATACAATGTAAACCACAATGCAATAATGGTGCCTACCAGTTTATTGGAATAAATTACAAAATCTGGTACCAAGCAAATATCAGAAAAATATAAAATAACAGACACTCTCAAATACTGCTGGAAGGAGTTTATTCTGGAAAAACCATTTTGGAAAACATAGTGATGCATTAATATATGAAATATTTTTTAAACACAAAGTTACCTACCAATTACTCCTAAAAAACATTCTTGCCTAAAGAAACCAGGAATTTTTTTTTATCATTACACATGTACAGGATGTTCACATTCGCATAGTTCATAATATCTACTGTAGGAAAGAATCAAAACATTCAGAAAATACACGATGGAGAAACTGTGGTACAATCACAAATGGATGTTATGGGTTGAACCGTTTCCTTTAAATTTCTTACATACTGTTCTAACTCCCAGTGTCTCAAAGGGTGACTGTATTTGAAGATAGGACCTTCAAAGGAGGAGGCCGGCCCTAAGCCTACATGCCTGGCATCCTTTCAAGAAGAGATGTTAAGTGAAATGAACCCCAAGATAGGGACACAACTTGTTTTTTCTTTTTTGCTATTGTTTTAATGTATCTAAAATGCACTATGTGATTTTTTTTTTATGTTCTTCCCCCACAGTATAACCCGTTGTCACTGTATTTGATGTCAGTGCCCTGTATCTTGTATATACATTTTTCTAATTTGGGGAGGGGAAGGGAAATAACAAAATGCTGAAACAAGGATACAAGTCGACCCATTGTAACAATGAGATGTACAAGACACTATGTAGAAAACGAACTTCAGAACTTGGAGGGGGGGGAGTTGGAGAGGTGGGGAGGGAAGGGATGGTAGGGAAAAACAAAGGAGGAGGTAACAATGCTGGATAAGAAATGTACTCATTACCTTACTCATGTAACTGTAACCCCTCTGTACACTATTTTTACAATAAAAAACAAAAAAGAAGAGATTAGGATGCAGATACACTTAGAAGGCACCACAGGAGACACAGGAGGAAGATAACATCTAGCAAGCAAACCAAAGTCTCAAAATGAAAGCAACTCCAAAGACACCTTTGGTTTTTTTGGGGGGGTTTTTTGTTTTGTTTTTTTGGTTGGTCATGGGGCTTGAACTTTAGGCTTGGGTGCTGTCCCTGTGCTCTTCAGCTCAAGGCTATCACTCTACCACTTGAGCCACAGCTCCACTTCCAGTTTTTGAGTGTTTTATTGGAGATAAAGAGTCTCACAGACTTTCCTGCCCAGGCTGGCTTTGAACTGTGATCCTCAGATCTCAGCCTCTTGAGTAGCTAGGATTAAAGGCATGAGCCACCAGCCACTGACGTCTGGCCAAAGACACCTTTTTTTTTTTTTTGTCGGTCATGGGGCTTGAACTCTGGGCCTGGGCGCTGCCCCTCAGCTCTTCAGCTCAAAGCGAGCACTCTACCACTTGAGCTACAGCGCCACTTCCGGTTTTCTGGTGGTTTATTGGAGATAGGAGTCTCACAGTCTCTCCTGCCCGGGCTGGCTTTGAACCGAGATCCTCAGATCTCAGCCTCCTGAGTAGCTAGGATTACAGGCGTGAGCCAACAGCGCCCGGCTGCAATGACACCTTTGTTACCAAGGAAAGTCTAAGTAAATACTTAGCTTTGCTTGTTCTTGGGTAACTTTTTTTGGGGGGGGCAGTCATGGGGCCTCAACTCTGGGCTTGGGTGCTGTCCCTCAACTCTTCAGCTTAAGGCTAGCATTCTACCACTTGAACCACAGCTCCACTTCTGGCTTTTTCTATTTATGTGGTGCTGAGGAATCGAACCTAGGGCCTTATGCATATAAGGCAAGCACTCTACCACTGAGCCACCATCTCAGCCCTTGGAAACTTTTAAGATCACTAATTGTGGAGTACAACTGACAATCTATCACTG